CAGAGGGCAGCAGGGGGGAAGGAGAACACCCCTCAAAGATGGGGGTGCGAGGGTCACCCCTAGAGGCCCCTACAGCGACTATACTCTTCTCAGCCGCTAGCAGGGACTCCTCAAGGAGGTCGACAGTGAGGGTGGTGGGACAGACAGCGAGAAACTGGTCCCTAACGACACGAAGGGACTCAGGAAGACGGGTGACGAGAAAGTAGAGAGTGATATACATGGGAGGAGGGTTTGCGGCGCGGAACTCAGCAGGAAGGGCAGCGCGGTAGCGAGCGTCACTAGTGCGGAGGTGGGTAACGAGGTCAGCGACAGTGGGAAAGGAAGCGAGGTCAGGGAAGAGAAACGGTAGCATGAGGCGGCTAAGGGTAGCGGAGGAAGGAGAGGAGTAGCGTGCAACTACAGCGTCGTACAAGGCCTGAGCGGTCTTGCACTGACTAAAGTGGGCACGCTCAGAGGAAGGGAGGTGGCGACGCACAGCAAGACGTGCAGCAGCATCGCGGGTCGCCCACTTGGAGCGAACGGCAGAGTCAGCATCAGCAGGCGGGGCAGGGACAGCTCCAGAGACAAAGTCAAAGAGAGAGACCTCATCTATCGCATCACACAGTAAGTACAGCTGCAGGTCTTCAATCCAGACGGCAAAGTCAATGGCCCTCCCCTCAGCGTCAAAAGTAAGAACATTGGGGGTGGCCATGGCAGCAGCTGAAAGTCTCACCGGGCTGGAAGAGTCGGGTAGGTCAGCAGCAGAGGAACACAGCTCAGGGACAGCAGCACGGCTCCTCAGGTGGCTCGCGTGGCTCAGGCGGCTCGGGCGGCTCGGGCGGCTCGGGCGGCTCGCGCGGCTCGGGTGGCGTAGGGGCTGACGGGCGGCGCGGGCTGCTGGGGCTGCTCACGTGCAGTACGGCGGGCTGCAGCAGGGCCGGTGGTGGGCTGTAGCAGGGCCGGTGGCGGGCTGTAGCAGGGCCGGTGGCGGGCTGCAGCAGGGCCGGCGGCGGCTGTAGCAGGGCCGGTGGCGGGCTGTAGCAGGGCCGGTGGCGGGCTGTAGCAGGGGCCGGTGGCGGCTGTAGCAGGGCCGGTGGCGGGCTGTAGCAGGGCCGGCGGCGGGCTGTAGTAGGGGCCGGTGGCGGCTGTAGCAGGGCCGGTGGCGGGCTATAGCAGGGGCCGGTGCGGGCTGTAGTGGGGCCGACGAGGGGCCGAAGTGGGGCCTAGGCGGGCCGGCGGGCTGTAGGCGGGGCCGACGCGGCGGGCTGTAGCAGGGGCCGGTGGCGGGCCTAAGCGGGGCCAGCGCGGGGCCGACAGGGCGTAGGTGGGGCCGACGCGGGGCCGAAGAGGGGCCTAAGCGGGGCCGACGGAGCCTACGCGGGGCCGACACGGGGCCGAGACGGGGCCTGGGCGGGGCCTACGCGGGGCCGACGAGGTGTACGCGGGGCCGACGAGGTGTACGCGGGGCCGACGAGGTGTACGCGGGGCCGACGAGGTGTACGCGGGGCCGACGAGGTGTACGCGGGGTCGACGAGGTGTACGCGGGGTCGACGAGGGGTACGCGGGGCCGACGAGGTGTACGCGGGGCCGACGAGGTGTACGCGGGGCCGACGAGGGGTACGCGGGGCCGACGAGGGGTACGCGGGGCCTACGCGGGGCCGACGAGGGGTACGCGGGGCCTACGCGGGGCCTACGTGGGGCCGACGAGGGGTACGCGGGGCCTACGCGGGGCCGACGAGGGGTACGCGGGGCCGACGAGGGGTACGCGGGGCCTACGCGGGGCCGACGAGGGGTACGCGGGGCCGACGAGGGGCCTAAGCAGGGGCCGACGAGGGGCCTAAGCGGGGCCGACGAGGGGCCTAAGCGGGGCCGACGAGGGGCCTAAGCGGGGGGCCGACGAGGGGCCTAAGCGGGGGGCCGACGAGGGGCCTAAGCGGGAGCACGACGGGAGGGGCGACTCGGAGGGTCGCTAAAAAAAATGCGCGCCTCGGGGCGCGCTTCGGTGGGCCCTAGGAACAGGCCCTAGGAAGGGACCTGCTCTGATTCCATGAGAAAGTACGAACGAGAAGTGGATGACTATGAAAAAGAAGTGGGTACAAATAGGAAACCCTAATTGGGTTGTACCCCCTATGGGATACCCCACTATAGCCTACAGAAATAAGTAAGCTATATGTTCTGACAGTACTTACACGCCCAACCAAATCTCAATCCGCGACAAATTCGTTGGCTGGACTACCTCGAGTCCAACTTCCACTACACGGTTACGTACAAGAAAGGCACATCCAACATCGCCGACGCACTCACCCGCCCTATCGCTCAACTCCACACCATCCTACTCTCCCAGACCAACCCGCTGTTAACAGGCCTATTCACCCACGGATACCGCACCGACCCATTTTTCACGACCGGAAACTCACAGCAACTGGCAGAAGCTAAAGGAGTTTATTACGTAAAAACAGGCACCAACCGCATCTGGGTACCTGCGTACTCACTACTGAGGGAGCTGCTACTGCAGGAGGCACACGACGGAATTACCTCGGGACACTTTGGGGTAGAAAAAACGCGACAGCAACTGCAGCGGTATTATTACTGGCTGGAGCTGTTGATCAACGTACAGCAGCACGTGGGCTCATGCCCCACGTGTCAGGCGATGAAGAGCTCGAGGAAGCGGAAGGCGGGTCAATTGCAGCCGATACCACCGCCCGAGCGCGCTTGGCAGTAGGTTACCATGGACTTTGTCACAGGGTTACCTTCGAACCCTGGGGGCAACGACGCGGTGATGGTCGTCGTTGACAGGCTGACGAAGATGGCACACTTCGCTGCGTGCAAAAAGTCGATCTCAGCTGAGGAGACCGCTCGTCTATTCATCTCAGCCGTTGTTCGCATGCACGGGATACCAGCAGCGATTATCAGCGACAGGGACACGAAGTTTACCAGCAACTTTTGGAAAAACCTCTGGGAGTAATTCGGGACCAGGCTACAGTTCAGTTCGTTGTACCATCCTGAGACCGACGGCCAAACGGAGCGGACGAATCAGACGATGGAGCAATTGATTCGTGCCACGTGCGATGACCCCACGACTTGGGAACAGCAGCTGCCACTGATCGAGTTCGCGTACAACAACGCCACGTCAGCGACGACGCAGCAGTCCCCCTTCTACCTTAACTACGGGCAAAATCCTACAGTGCCCATGACGCCGAGTCCAGACAATCCGACACCACGTGCACAACAATTCGCCGAAATTCTGCAAGCTGCTCGCACCAGAGCTGCAGAAGCAATTAAAAAAGCAAATGCCATCGCTAAGCGCAATGCTGACCGCCACCGCCGACCCGTCACCTACCAGTCAGGGGATTACGTACTGCTCGACATGCAAAACCTGCGATTGCCTGACGTACCAAAACTACGACCGCGCTACTGTGGCCCATTCAAAATCAGCCACATGATCACGCCAGTAACCGCGCACCTACTGTTACCGACCGACTGGTACATCAGCCCTTCGTTCCACGTCAGCTTGCTTCGCCCATACATTCCAACCACAAGCAAATTGCCTCGCCACCGCCCGCCATCCATGACTCGCCCTGCATCGGAGCCGATCATCGAGCCCGAAAAAATCCTGAGCCATCGGATTCGACACCCCACGGGAATCAGGAGGATTGAATTCCTCGTTCGCTGGAAGGACCGCACGCCAACTGAGGATAGCCGGGTGCCCCTGGCCAACATTGAAAACCACCCTGCCCTGCAAGTGTACCTGAGGAGCCGGGGATTCCGCGACAAACACGCACTCGCGTAGCGGAGGGGGCTTCTTGAGGGGGGGGGGGGGGTAGTGTAAGGAATTTTCTCGGCATTCCTTACGGAGCCCGACTACATCGCGTACGGCAACAGCCGTTGTTCGCCCGTTACTGCTAACGGAACTTCACCGACTTCGCGCGCACTGTTTCACCAAACCTCCCACTACTGGCCCGGCCGTGTCGGCCTACGCTTCGGGATTAGCCCGAGCCTCGCTGCCAGCATAGCACTAGCTAGCTCGCACGCACCGCGTTACCGTTTGCATGCTTCGCATATAAATGTTCGCTCATGCCTTCGCTCACATCTTTGTACTCGTTTGACACCTTAGTGCAATTCTCGCTACTTCGATTCATTGCACCCGTAACACTTACACTATCCAGGCGCCTGGCAAATCATTATGTTTTGTTGCTAATCCCAAGTCCACTCACAGTTCCCCTAGATATAGTATGAGATGATGACTCAACTCAAGTCAAGTTACTGAGCTCTGAGGCGAATATTGGTGCAGCACATTCGGGGCGGGGATCCATGATTTGGGGTACTGTTGTATGCTAATTAGTATGATTTGATGTTATTTGTAAAGTACATCGATGGATACACATGTACAAAACAACAAAGAGAAACAGAGCACCAAGGCACAGGTGTAGGTACGTGTCGCTTGATCTGGCCCGGCTGATGCCAGGAAAATACAATGACTGGTATTGAGGTAGCTCATACTGTGGTATGCCGTTGCATGAGGATGATGCATCTGTGAGACCTGCCACCATATGTTTATCTGGCCCAGCTGTCGCCAGTTAAATGCAATGACTGGTATTGCGGGAGCCCATAATCGGGTATGCCATGGCGTGACAACATCTGAGGATGGTGTGAGACCTCGTAGGCTGGTTGCTGTTGCGGTGACCACTGAGTTTGGTGTAACACTTGATGTTGCGGTAACTGTTGGGTTGGGTGTAGCATCTGCTGTTGTGGTAACAGCTGTTGCGGCTGCATGTGTAACACGTGTTGTGGCGTTTGCCCTTGTAACACCATGTGCTGCTGTGGCATTTGCTGCTGCTGCATTTGCTGATGTTGCTCCTGCATTTGCTGCTGCTGCATGTGCTGTTGCTGCATTTGCCGCTGCTCCATCTGTTGCTGTAACACCTGCTGTTGGTGCAATTGTTGCTGCTGCTGCATTTGCTGATGCAACACCTGCTGCTGCTGCATGTGCTGACGTAGCAAATCAGATTCTGACTGTTCCCTCAGCAGCACCGCCCTCTGTGCTGCCGTGCTGCCGCCATATCCTGCCGTGCCGCCGCCATATGCTGCCGTGCTGCCGCTATATCCTCCCTGCCTGGGCTGCTGTGCTTCCCTCGAGCTGCCCCGGCGGCTGGGAGCACCACAGAGGCTTGAGTGGCAAGGAACCTGAGGGCGGGCAGAGGGGCATGGGGGAAATGGGACACAGGGGAATGGGGAGATTGGGATACAGGGGAATGGGGGAACTGGTGGCAGCAGCAGCAGAAGCAGCAGCAGCAGCAGCAATGTGTGTGGGGTGGGCGTGCCGCCATGTCCTGCCTGCCACGTCCGCAATATCCCTATTGCCTGGGCTGCTGCGCTTCCCTCGAGCTGCCCCGGTGGCTGGGACTGGGAGCGCCGCAGAGGCTTGCACAGCAGGCAACCTGCATGGGGGGAATGGTGTAGCTGCGAGGGGTGAAAGATTGCAGGGGTAAAATGAAGGAATTGAGACCCAGGGGGAATGGGGGGATACTCCTTCCATTGCGCGGCCTGATCAACACTCTCTCCTCTCTTGAGTCGACTCAAAGTGACTTTTGAATTGACTCAAAAGTCACCTCGAAAGAAGGCAGGGTTAATGAGGGTATTGAGACCCAGGGGGAATGGGGGAATACTCCTTCCATTGTGCGGCCTGATCAACACCCCCTCCTCCTCTCTTGCTTCCCTTTGTCAAAAGTGACATTTGAGTGCCTCTTGAGTCAGATTTCCCTCTTCCTGCCCACTTCTATGCTGTGTGCTTCAGAGAAGCTGCAGAACCAGGGAAGCTGAAGAGAAGGTGCAGCGAACTTTCAAGGAACCTGCCAAAAACCATCAGCGTCAAACAGAGGACCTTTTCAAGGCCAACCTACTTGCCTCTAGGATCATTCCTTTGAGATTAAAACCAAGAAGCTCAAACACAAAAGAAGTCGAGAGATGAAAAGAAGCAGAGTCTTACATAATCCGAGTCCCTGCACTGGCCACGTTGGCGGGCAGAAGGAGATCCATCCCATCCGTCTGCTCCCATCGCTGCTCCCCCACCTCCTCCCGCCCTTCCTCCTTCCCTGCTCTCGTTCTTCTTGCGTGCTCCCATGGACTGCATCAGCATCACCACTGCTAGTGGCTTCTGCTCCTGCATCTGCTCCTGCATCTGCTTCCTCCGCCTCTCCCTCTCCCTCTCTGCTTCCCTCTTCCTCTCCCTTTCCATCTCCCTCTCCCTCTCTGCTTCCCTCTTCCTCTCCCTTTCCATCTCCCTCTCCCTCTCCCTCTCCCTCTCCTGCTCCCTTTCCCGCTCCCTCTCCCTCTCCCTTCTCTCCCGCTCCCTCTCCCTTTCCCTCTCCCTCCTCTCCCTCTCCATTTCCCTCTCCCGCTCCCTCTCCCTTTCCCTCTCCATTTCCCTCTCCCTCTCCCTCTCCCTCTCCTCTGCTCTCCGCTGTTGCATTATTTCTTCCTGTAACTGCCTTTCCCTCTCCTGCTGCTGCCGTTGCTCCTCCTGCTGCTGCCGTCGCTGCTGCTTCTGCTGCTGGTGCAGCAAGTAAGACTGCTGCTGCTGCTCCACCCACTGCTGTTGCAGCTCAGGGGAAATACCCTCGGGTATTTTCGAGTAAATAGCAGCGATTATTCTAGGCGGGATCATTGGGTTGATACTAGTGACGGTTGTGGTTGCTGCCCTCCCCCTCCCCTGCTGCTGCTGCTGCTGCTGCTTCTCACCCATTTCAGCACCAGGCACAATCTGCTGCTGCTGCCCCTCCCTCTCTCCACCCCCCACAGCCACCACCGTCCCACCCCCGTATCCTCCTGACGTCACCGAATCCTGCTGAACCTGCATCGATGACGTCATAATCGCGGGCATGTCATGGTGCGCTGACGTCAGCATGGTCATGCTGGTGGGAGCACTAACCTGCATACTGTTAGGTGCGCTAGCCAGGATGCTGCTGTTAAAGCCCCTGTTGTTGCTGCTGCCTGCGCTGGCTATGGTGCTGTTGATGGCATGTGCATGGATGGTGCCATAAGCGGTGGGGGAGCTAGAAGCTGAATGTGCATGCATGGGAGAGGAAGGCTGGGAGGAAAGGTGAGAGGACGGATGGGAGGAGGAGGCGATATGCACACCGTTACTCCCATGTACATTCATCTGTGGGAAGGATGGGCATATATTCTTAAGTGACTCTGAGGGGTGAGTCTGGAGAGAATGAGGCGCCTTGAAGGGAGAAGGAGAATTGGGAGATGTGGGTGATGCGGGTGATGGGGTTGAGGGGATTGAGATGGTTAGAGAGTGTGTGGGGAAGGTTGAGAGTGTGTGATGGGGTTGAGGAGCAGCCATGCCTAGAGTTTGCTGTTGCATGAATTGCTGTGAGACCAAGGGTAGCTGTTGAGAGGGTATAGACATGGATTGCTGTTGTGATGGCATGGGTTGTTGTGAAGCCATAGATGGTTGTTGAGAGGGCATGGACATGGATGGTACAGCACCAGTGGATGCGTATGGTATGCTGGCTGAGGGGTAAGCCATGCCTGATGCTGCCACGGATGACGTCAGCATTGAGTGAGACGGTGACGTCATCATGGTGTACTGTGATGTGGAGAGGGGGTGCGGTGGGGATAGTGAGTGAGTGTGAGCATCGGGGTGAGAGGAGGAGAGAGAGTGTGAAGGGGAAAGAGGGTGTGAGGGCGGGAGAGGGTGTGAAGGGGAGAGTGGGAGAGAGGGGGAGAGTGAGTGGGTATGAGTGAGTCTAGGAGGAGCATGAGCAGGTGACGTCATCATGTGTTGGCCTGCTGACGTCATCATCCCCATGTGCCCTGCTGACTGCATCGATCCATCAGGCAGCATCATCCCCCCATTGCGCTGCTGCAGACCTGTGAGCTGTAAACCACTGCCACCGCTCTGCACCGCACTGAACCGCACATCACTACTCTGTAATCCCTGTAGCCCCTGTTGACCGTTGCAGTACTGTACACCGTTGATATTATTGTTAATACTTTTATTATTACTGCCATTACTATAAACTACAGTACCCGTGGTGGCGTCTAAAAATGCAGGAGGCGGAGGAGGAAGCTTCATGGCAGTTGCCACCAGGTTGCCTGATGATGTCAGCATGGGTTGCTCTGCTGACGTCATCATGGGGTTCTGCTGCCAGCCCATGCCAGCTGTCATGCCGGCCAGACCCACCATCCCCGCTCCCACCATCCCGGCCGGCATGGATGGCGATGTTGCAGATGGCGATGCTGACGTCATCATGGCACCGTGACATGGTGCTGCTGACGTCATCATGCTGCCATGAGATGGAGATGCTGACGTTATCATGGTTTGGACTTGCGGCATCGCTGCCGCTGCTGCTGCGCCTGCACCTGCACCTGCTGCCACTGATGCTGCTCCTGCTACAGCTGTTGCTGTTGCTGTTGCTGTTGCTGCTGCTGCCGCTGCTGTCACGTCAACAGCAGCATCTGCAGTTTTTGCTTCCCTCCGCGCCTCGTTCCTGCCCTCCGCATTTCCCCCATCCCCTCCTCCCTTTTCTCCTGTTCCTGCTTCTCCACTCTTGCTTCTGCTGTCGCTGCTGCTGCCTCTGTTGCAGCTGCTGCTGCCACTACTGCTACCATCACTGGTAGCACCACTCTCATCCCTATTTTCCCTGATCTTCCTTCTGCTGCTGCCCCTGCTTTCCCTGCTGCTGCTACTGCTACTGCTACTGCTACTGCTGCTGCTGCCGTTACTGCCAATGCGCCTCTCTCCCTCCCTCCCTCCTTCGGCCGGACGTGAAGTTGAAGCAGAAACCGGACCTGTAACCGAGCCTGTGACCGAACCAGAACAACCCGAACCAGCAGGCGCCGAACCAGAGGCAATGGCTTTCCGCCTTGCTGCGGCTGCAGCTGCTGCCTTTCTCCTTTCAATAGGGGAGGTTGGTGGGAGGGGGGTGGAAGGGGAAGGAGAGGGGGAGGGAGAGGGGGAAGAGAAGGCAGAGGGAGAGAGAGGGGAGGAAGAGGGGGAGACAGGCCAAAACGGCGGCAGTGGGGACAGGGGAGGAGGCGATGACGGGGTGGGGGAAGGAGGGGAGGAAGGGATAGAGGGAAGAGGAGCGAGGGAAAGAGAAGAGGGAGAAGTGTTGGGAAGAGGTGAGGGAGAGGGATAAGCGTCTGGAGTGTGGGGAGAGGGAGGGAGAGGAGGGGAGGAAGTGAAGTCAGGGGAGGGAGGGAGAGGAGGTGAGGAAGGGGGAGCAGGAGAGGAAGATGGGGAAGACGGGAGGTTGACTGGAGCAGCAGGAGGATAAACAGTCTTTCTTCTGTTGCTGCCCGAACGACCCCCCTCACTGCTTGAGTGATCGCTTCGGCTGCCCGAAGCACGAGAACCATGAGGCTTGGTCAAGGGAGCTGCAGGTTCGGCAATCGAACTAGGCTGAGGTTGGGAACGTGGGGATTCATGCTCGGATGACCTAGGTTCGGAAACCAAAGAACCTTTGCAATCTCCCTCTAGGACAGCCTGAGGCACGGCAGGAGCACAGACCTGAGCCTCAGCTTTGGAAGACCCTGTGGTAAATGGAGCAGTTGCGGTAAGGCCTGGGTGGGCGACAGGCTCGGAATGAGGCCCGGGAAGAGGTCCGGAGGAACGAGGTACAGCTGTGGGCATACAATCAGTGCTGCTGCTCTTGGTATTCTCTTGGGTATGGCTTTGGATTTTGCTGTCAGTCTTCCTGTGAGTCCTGCTTTGCTTCCTGCTTGTAACCGTAGGGTTACCACCTCTCCTGCTGCTTCCTCTGCTGCAGGTGCTTCTTCCCGTGCTGCTGCTGGTGGCGCTTCTGCTGGGCCGAACCTGCTTGGGAGACCTTGCCGAACCGGAAGAGTAGGCTCGGGAGAATGCCGAGCCTGAAGAGGCGGACCTGCCGGAAGTGACCCTGGGAGATGCGCTGGGAGAACCGGATGAAGAGGCTCGGAAAGAGGTTTGGTGGGAGGCCTGGGGGGACTCTTGGGGGCCGGAGGCGGAAGGAGTGGGGGAGAGGCAGGGGGGAGGCGCAGCATGAACAGAAGGAGGGCAGGGAGGGACGGGGGAAGGGGCGGGGGGAGAGGCGGGAGAGGGGGAAGAGGGAGTGGAGGGGATGGAGGGAGACGAGGGGGGGGAGGGAGAGGAAAGAGAGGAGGCACAGGAGGAGGCGGGAGAGGGGAGAGCAACCCGTCTGCTGGTGATGCCTCTTGACCTAGACGTTCCGCTGCTCTGGCTCTTGCTGCTGCTGCTCCCTCTGCTCCCTCTGCTGCTTCCTCTGCTGCGTCGGCTGCTGCTACCGTCGCTGCTGTCACTGTTGCCGTTACCGCTCCTCATGTTACCACTGTTTGTGTTACCACTCCTCATGTTACCACTGTTTGTGTTACCACTCCTCATGTTACCACTGTTTGTGTTACCACTCCTCATGTTACCACTGTTTGTGTTACCACTCCTTGTGTTACCAATCGTGTCACTTGTGTACAGGTCATTGCCGCTTCTGCCACTGCTGCTTCTGTTGGCCACTCTTCCGTTGTCCGTGCTGTTGCTGTTACCGGTGCTCCTGAGAACGTTGTCTCTCGTGCTGCTGCTAGCGCTGCTCCTTATAGCATCCGGTCTGCTATCACTGCTTCTCGTGCTGCTGCCCTCCCCTCCGTTGTCGTTGCTGTTGCCTCTGATTTCGAGAAAATAACCTCTCAGGCTGCTGCTAGCGCTGCTCCTGATAGCCTCATTCATGCGATCACAGCTTCTCGTGCTGCTGCTCCCCTGCGCAACGCCCTTGTTCATGCTCCCACTTTGCCTGCTCATGCTCCCGCCTCCCCTGTTGCCTGTTTCTTGCGCTTCTCCCCTGCTAAAGCTGCCTCTGCCTCTGCTATTGCTGCCGTTTATCCTCTCCCAGTTATTACCACCGTTCCCTAACTCTGCCGGTTCTCCCCTGTTCACGCTGCCGCTGTCCCTGCCACTGCTGCTGCAGATCCTCTCCCAGTTATTATCTGAATCATCCTCCTCATTCATTCTCCCACCCCCACTGTCCCCTAGCCCTGGCGCATTGCCCCTGCTCGCGCTGCCTCTGTCCCTGCTACTGCTGCTGCGGATCCTTTCCCAGTTATCACCACAATCACCCTCCTCGCTTATTCTCCCACCCCCACTGTTCCCTAACTCTGCTTCCTCCCTGCTTCCACTGCCACAGTCCCTCCTACTCTGGTAACCACCCTGGTATCCACGTCTGTACCCATCTCTATCATAACTCGCAATGTCGTTGGCCCTGGCAATACCGCTACTGTCAACCGTACCATACCCATCAGCACTCCCATCTCTACCACCATTCCTGCACCGAGTCCCACTCCCTCCAGTGTCACCAGAACCGTACCAAACACCACTCCCTCCACTATCACCGATGGCATTACTGTCAGCCACCCTCCAACTCCTTGTGTAATCATCCCTGTCGGAAACCCCTTCCATAGAAACGAGACATTGGTTTGAGCCTCTACCATTGCCCCTGTCACCCCTGCTGCCGCCGCTGCCGCCGATGCTGCTGCTACCGCTGCCCCTGACGCTTCTGCTACCGCCACAGCTACTGCTGCTGCTAGTAGAAACAGCATGCGGGATGGAGCCTCTGCTATAGCCCCCGATTTCCACTGCACCGGCCGATGGGTGTAAGTCACGGTGCTGCAAGCCTCTCTTACTGCTACCGCCACAGCTACTGCTGCTGCTCGTAGAAGCAGCATGCGGGATGGAGCCTCTGCTATAGCCGTTCTTAGCAAATGCACCGGCCAATGGAGGTAAGCGGCTCTGTTGTAAGCCTCTCCGTCTGCTGCTGCTGCCAATGTCACTGCTGATGCTGCTTGTGGAAGCATCACGTGGGATGGAGCCTCTGCTATAGCCCTCCATTGCCACTGCACCAGCCGATGGGGGTAAGCTGCTGTGCTGTAACCCCCTCCTCCTTCTCCTTCTCCTGCTGCTGCCGTCGCTGCTGCCGCCGCTGTTGCTCCTGCTGCTGCTAGCTGCAGCACCAGAGTGGGGGCTGAAGTGACCAGCCACACCGAAGAGACCAGAAGCAGCAGTGGCAGTGGCGGCAGTAACAGGGTTGGCATACGAACCTCCAGACAAGCTCTGGTTTGCATACAAGCCGTGTGGGTCCCAAAGGTCGTCAAAAGGTTCGGTAAGAGGTTCGTCAAGAGGTTCGGCAATGCTTTTGGCTAGGGCTGGTAGTCTGGCTTCCTGTGCCCTGCACCACCGTTGCTCCTCCTCTTCCTCTTCCTCCTTGAGCCGCCTCTCCTCCTCGTCCCTGCACCGTTTCTCCTCCTCCTCCTTGCCCCACCACCCTTCTCTCTCCTCCTCTTCCCTGCACCGTTTCTCCTCCTCCTTGCACCACCACCCTTCTCTCTCCTCCTCTTCCTCCTCATCTTCTTCCTCTTCCCTCTGCTGAAAGAGCGGAAGGTGATCAACGGGTTGGGAAACGCCAAGGCTTCTGGCTAAGGCAGGCCGAATCGCTTCTTCCTCTTTGCACCACCGCCCCTCTTCCTCCTCTCTCTGCTGGAAGACCGGCAAGTCTTCAACGGGTTGGGCAACGTCAAGGCTTCTGGCTAAGGCGGGTAGTCTGGCTTCCTCCGCCTTGCACCAACGCTGCTCCTCCTCCTCCTCCTCTTCTTCTTCCTCCTCCTCCTCTTCTTCTTCCTCCTCCTCCTCTTCCTCCTCCCGCTCTCTGCTGTAATTTCCAGCCTCAAGTGGCACAACCACTCTGCTTACCGCCTCATCTTCCCCCCTCCCGTTAATCCCCCCGTTTTGCCTTGTAATGTTACCACTGGGAGCAGTTTCTTGCAAGTAGTTACCACATGAACGAGCTTCGCGCATGTGGTTACCAGCTGACGTCCATTGCCTCGCATGGTTACCACTGGCTGCTTTAGGCGAGGCGAGGGGGTTTCGACCACCGTGCACGGGTGATAGTATCCTCGGCCTGAACCTGTGCGTTCTGGCCGTTACTCCTGCTGCTGCTGCTGGTTTTGCTGCCGTTCCTACTGCTGTTGCTGCTGATCCTGAAGCCGATGCTACTACTGCTCTCGCTGCTGCGGGTGCTGCTGGTGATGCAACCGACGCTGTTGCTGCTGCTCTTGCTCCTTCTGCTGCTACACTTGCTGCAGCAGCAGGTGGTTCTTTCAAATCCAGGTAACCATTCCCTCCCTTTCCTCTTCGAATCCCACTCCACAAACTAGCCCCCAGCGGCGGCTTATGAGACGTCTCAAAGCTTGCTGCTGCAGCCAGTGCTGCTCGTGTATCCGGTAACCCGTTCCCTCTTCCAATCCCACTCCACGAACTAGCCAGCAGCGGCGGCTTTTGAGGCGTCTCGAGCCTCGTTGCTGCAACTGGTGCTGCATTTATTTCCAGAAGCCCGTTCCCTCTACCGATCCCGTGACTCAAACTCCAGGAACTAGACAGCAGCGGCGGTTGTTCCATCTCAATCTCCTCCAACTCCTCCTCTTCCTCCTCCTCTTCCCCCATCTCCTCCCCTCCCCCTTTTCCCCCCACTCCCAACGCCGTTTCTATTTCTTCCAGGACAGGAGCGTTCGGACAAAGGGGAGTAGGAGTGTGACTGAAAGCTGACGTTGCCACTTCCCCTCCTCTACTTTCTGATTCTCCTCTCGTTGCCCCGACCTCCCTCCGCGCTTCCCCCGCCCCGATCCCCCTCCCTCCCCCGACTCCTCTCCCCCATCCCCCACCGAACGCGTTTCTTCCGCCTCCCGTCTCCCCAACCCCCCTCCCCACCCCTGTCCCTGCCTCCGTCCCCGCCCCCCTCCCCATCCCCCTCCCCGCTCCCCTCCCGGCTCCCCGTCCCACCCCCACACTTCCCCTACCAATCCCACCTCCCACCTCTTCTACCGGCTTCCATCCACTTTCCGTGAACACATAAGCCGGCCGGACACCTGCCTGACGGTTAGCCGTCATCTCTGCCGTCGACTGCTCAACTGGCCGGCCGCTTCCCAGGCTGTTCAGCCGGCTGCCGCCTTCCATCATCTGGTTATCTCTTGCTCCCAGAAACCTTGGGCTTTGCCCCGCGGGTTCAGCCAGGAGGTCTGAACCCACGCGCCTTCTTCCATCGCTTGCAGTGCCGTGATTGCCGCCGTTGTTACCGCCGCTATTCCCGCACTTAGTTCCCCCATTATTGCCGCCGAAATTCCCGACTTTATTCCCCCCCGTGTTGCCGCCGTTATTCCGGTCTTTATTGGCGCCGATATTCACGCTGTTATACCCACCGCTATCCCCGCTGTTACCCCTGCCGTTATCCCGGTTACTACCAGTATCGCCGTCGCCAGCGCCGTCGCGAGCGCCATCGCCGATTCCTCGGCGAAACGCCGTTCCGTGCTGCCGGGGCTGCGGCCGCGCGTAAGGATCAGGCATGGCACGGTAAAACGCCGACTCCGCGGACACTCCGCTTCTATCACCCCCGCTTTTATCACCTCCGATGCTGCCGCCTCCCCGTCTGTCAGCCGCAACCTCTCCGTTACTCTCCGCTCTGATTTTATGATCGTTTCCCCCTCCGTACCTATCGCCGCTCTCCCCGCCGCACCTTCCGCCGCTTTTGACGGACGGGCCAGACGGCCCTCCCACAGGAGAAGCGCTCGCTAAGTCTTTCGCGGCTTGAGCGAGACGCCCACGGGAGAAATCGTCCACTAAGCCGTTATTACGTGCCGCGACTGGAGCTTCCCTGACATGCAAAGCTTCTTTCCCGCCTAAAGCGTTGAAATACCTCCTGCCTCCCTCCTCTCGCCTGTCCGAACCGCCACGGCTCCAACTCACTTGCCGGGCGCGACAAGCATCACCAGCGTTGAGAATATTACTTCCTGGAGTCGAGTTCTCGTTTTGAGACGTCTCTGGATTCGTGCTCCTTATTCCACTAGTAGCACCACTAGTATTCGTACTAATGCTATTAGTATTCGTATTGGCTGGAGGCAAGGGACTCACTCGACGGGAGTCGGCGAATTGCGCAACAGGCGGAGGGGCGGGGAAAAGAGGGGGACGGCTGGCGCTAAGAATGGGGGAGGTGTTGCGGAGTCGATCCCACGTCGCGATCATGTGGCCAAGCGCGGTATCCATGTTGTTACCACGTAACCCCGCAGCTCCCAAAGTCTACCTAGTAGGATGACGGAGTCGCCATGACTGAATAGTACCTAGTATTCGCAATTTCGCGGCTATCAGAGTATTCGACTATCAGTCACTCGATTATCTAAGAGCCAAGGCGACGCCTAACCGTTGTTCAAATGAACGCCCAGGTGAGGAGAAAAATAAGGCGTATACTTGAGTTCTGGTGAGATCGCTGCGCAGGATGCTCCTAAGGGTTGTTTCTACGTCAGAGGAGGGAACCCATGTCCCAAAAATACTACCTTGCCTCGTGGGGGCTTCTATGTGCGCTGAGCCTACGCCTCCAGCTGGTTACGTCCGCTTTACGTTCCAAAAGACTGAAGTCAGCTTTATCCTATGTAAAGACAGAAGAGCGCAGAAAGTTTTCGCGGACAAGATTCGCGAGGAGTCGGTCACGTCGTCGCCATCCATTTTCGCACATCGCGAACTCTCGCAATCCTAAACTTCTGAGGCGCCTCAGGATACCCTGACGCCTTTCGGGGGCTTTGCAGCTTCTCTTCTCGGAAAAGGTGGGGGACGTAGGAAACTCGGTCGTGCTTTGGGAGAAGCTCATGTGTCCTGCCTGCTATCCGATTCGAACATGCCTCTCGCAACCACATGTCGTGCACTGCTAGTTACTGCTGCTGTCCTGCCGTCAAGTTTACTCGTCGCGCCATGGAGGTTCGTTGGGTTCTATCGGGATCGTCGTCTTACGTAACTAAACTCGCACCTCCACAGATGAGAGCTCAAGCTACGATATCCCACGATGCATGGCCTCTGGAAGTAAGCGACTCGTGTGATGATTGTGGGATTGATGAGGTGATGGGTTCGGGCACAACAAATGTGGCGTAACTATGGTGCACCAACAGATCGAAACTACCCGAAACAAGAGGAAGTTGAGAAAAATGTCTGGTTACGAAGAAATGCATCAGTGTACTCTTCCAACCAGCCGCATTACGGATTCCTACTGGTTGATTGGGGCTGTTGCTAAGCTGAAGATGCTGGGAAATATTTTTTTGCACGCCCTACAGCTGGGAGAGCCTCGACAGTCAATACTCAGGGGAAGGGTGATTCGAACCTAACAAATGAGGAGCCCCTTTCGTTCCTCGGCACGAGAATGCGATGCGGTTCAACCTTGATATGCACGACGGGAGGGGCGAGATTGGCGCAAAGCAAAATGCGTGCTGATGTGCAAACCTGTTCTGGTTTGGATTAGACGAGCCTAGCTTTTGGTGCTTCACTAGGCTTGCTCTGCGAGCTGGACCCACGTGGCTGGTTCAAGTTGCAAGGCATTTGCCACACGGGGAGGTTCGGCAGGTAACTAGTTTGGCCTAGGCCACGACACACCTTCGTCAGCTTGTGTGTTGGCTCGGTAAAAGTCTGAAGGTGCGAGGGAGTCAGCAAACCAGCTTTATATCCGCGCTACACCAAATGCCACAAAGTGTGGCTCCGCAAGCTCTTTGAACAAGGCCCACATATATGCGATTGTTTCAAATCGATAAACGGTCCGCACAAGATGAACATTTCTTATATCGGATAAATTAGTGGTGCGATTGGCTACCCTGACCGTAGACTACTTTCAACGCAAAATGTGTTCAGTGGGCAGCGGGTTTCGGCAGGCAGCCTGCCCCACCGCTTTGTAGGTCAAACATCACCGCCACGTGGCCTGCCCGACAGCAAGGCCAACCCAGATGTTCTGCAGCTACTCCTTTCACCTCCATTCTGTCGCGACTCGTGATGTTGAATGCGCGGCCCGAAAGCAGGGTTGATAAATGCCCACATTTCCAACATTTTGCACCACAGACTCAAAATCAATCAGCTCAACTTCTCACCACTGGTATTCCCAAGCCTGAGTTCAGGAGCCACCCCACTGCTTTGCTTTACCACGGAACGATTTCCAACCTTTCAGCATGGCTCGTTTCTCCCCTCGTGCAGCTGTGACACTTCTCCTCACCGTCGCACTTGCAGGTTAGTTATTCTGCATAACAGCCAGGTCGCAACGATTTCCCTAGATGTACTCATTGAATATGCAAACTTCAGTCATAACACAGGCATTTCCATTACCAATTGAATGTTCCTCGACACATCATACCCTTTTCGCCTTCTATTTCTTGTGTCCACTTATTGTTTCAGCAGCCGTTCTCCCTCCTTCTGCCCTCGCTGCTCGCACTGGTCCTAGCATCGGCTCCAAGATTCTGGGTGAGTTCCGTTACTGCAAAGCCCTTTACAAGCATGCTCCGCAAGAAACAGTTATATATATATATATATATATATCATCCAATAGCGTTCTATCTTGCAGCAAATATTAAACTCCAGATCCTGATGCTCCTAGATCTTCTGCTATTCTGTTCTGTTTCTGTTTCACCAGCTTCTCTCCATGGGACCCTAGCCCCTTGTGGTGGGACGAGCGCTGAGATCAGGTCCAACGCTGATGGCACGGCTGATATCAGCATCCTCCGAAGGTACTGCGAACCTGCATTGGGATTGTATCCTATTTTTTCCAGCACCTCCTTCCCTCCCCCCCCCCAACCCCCCCTCTCTCTTCCGCCACCTTGAGTAGTAAGTTTTTCTAGATAAATAATAATATCTTGTTTTTCTTCTTATCTCTCCCATTTGCATAATCTCTTAGGGGAGCGTCAGTGTACCTTGCCTACAAGATCAGAGCACAGGGCATAGCCCTGCAGCCCTCCACTCCTCCAGCCATCCTCCCTCGCAACCCCTGCACCAGAGGCCCCCTCTCCTCCACTCCCATCACTGCCTCGACTGGTTTGGCCGCCGGTGCGGGTGCAGACATAGGCTCGGCAGGCGCCCGAGCCAGTTTTGGAGGCTCGCCAAACCTCAATGTGGCTCCAGCTGGGTTGATTTCGGATGTCCCCGGAGCTGTTTTTGGTGTGGGGAGGGCAGCGGGGAGTGTGGCAGGCTCTGCGGGGAAGGTGGCAGGTTCGGCGGCAGGCTTGGTGGGTAGTGTTGCAGGTTCGGCGGTAGGAACTGCAGGGAAGGCGGCAGGCTTGGTGGGTAGTGTTGCAGGTTCGGCGGTAGGAACTGCAGGGAAGGCGGCAGGTTCGGTGGGAAGCCTTGCAGGTTCGGGAGTAGGCTTGGTGGGCAGCGCTGCAGGTTCAGCTGTGGGCGCTGCAGGAAAGGTGGGAGGATCTGCAGGGAACCTCGCAGGCTCAGCAGCCGGCTTGGCAACCAACCTTGCAGGTTCGGCAATCGGAACTGCAGGAAAGGCAGCAGGATCCGCAGGCAATCTTGCAAGCTCGGCAGCAGGCTTGGCAACCAATGTTACAGGCTCGGCGGTTGGAACTGCAGGGAAGGTGGCAGGTTCGGCAGCAGGTTTGGTCAGCACCATTGCAGGCTCCACCGCTGGCACTGCAGGTAAGGCGGCAGGCTCTGCTGGGAGGCTTGCAGGCTCGGCAGCCGGATTGGTCAGCAACTCATCTGGTTCGGCAGCTGGCTTGGTCGGCACTACTGCAAGCGCGGCGGTTGGCACTGCAGGGAGGGCATCAGGTGCGGCGGGGAACCTTGCAGGCTCGGCAACAAGCTTGGTAGGGAATACTGCAGGTTTGGCGACTGGCACTGCTGGTAAGGCTGCAGGCTCGGCCGCAGGCTTAGTTGGCAACACTGCAGGTTCACTCGTTAGCACGGCAGGAAATGCAGTTGGTGCCGCAAGGAAAGCAGCAGGCGCAGCAGGGAAGGCAGCAGGCTCGGCGGCTAACCTTGCAGGTTCGGTGGCTGGCTCGGTGCCTTCCGTTCTGATCCCTCTGGTGGTGCTGCCTGGTGCTTGGGTGGCTACAGCAGGCAACGTCAATGCTGCCGCCACTGCTGTTGGTGCCGCTGCTGCTGGTGCTGCTACTGCGGCCACCATTGGTGCTACTACTGTTACTGCTGCTGCTGCTGGCAGTGCTGGCGGTGCTGCTGCTACAGCAGCCAGGGCTGCAAACACCGCGTTTGCAATGGCTGGGGAGATGCAGCTGTCTTCCTCCCTTGCTGCCCCTCTGCTCGCACACATCTCCTCCTCCTCCACGCCTCTCTCCCTCCTGCTCCGCCTCAATGGACAGCAGAGCCTCATTGCTGAGCTGGTGCAGAAAGAGGGACGAGGCACAAAAGGGACAGTTGCGGAAGAGGTGACTTTTGAGTCGACTCAGAAGTGGCCAGCAGAGCCTCGTTGCTGATCTGGTGCAATAGGAGGGACGAGGGACAAAAGGGGCATTAGCAGGATCTTGATGGATGTTGCACCTCACATTGCAATTCGGAAGGAGATTGTTGAGATGGTGTGCAGTGACAAACTTGTGGGACGGGACGGTGCATTGCTTCTGTCTGTTCAGGGTGTAGCTTCGGTGTAATGGACAACTTTTGAGGCACCTCAAAGCTCGTTGAGGTGGCGTATAGTGGCTATCTTGTGGATAGAGCATTGTTTCTGTCTGTTTGAGATGGTGTGTACGTAGCTCCGGTCTTGTGAATGAGCCACATGCTGTTTTGTGGCTTAGTGATCATTGGGGATGCAAATGTCACAAATTGTCAGTTAGGAACTCTGCGTGTAGGCACACGGCTTGTGTCACCACAATAGAAGCTCTCACGAGGGCAATGCAATAGCAGTGTGAGAATTGTTACCACACACGTCGTTCAGAGGTTGAAATATTGTGTACGGCAATAGAAGCTCTCAATTATATACACCTCAGCAACAATCACAACAACATGCACCCCACCCCACATAACTATTGCTCCCTCTCGTTATGTAGGCAGCAATGCTTTCCCTCATTCGATTTCCAGCACATTTTACTCATTTTCTTGTTGTAAGCTACTGATCACATCCTATAATGAGGATACCACAGGCCCTTCGTCGGGCATTAAAAGGTCTGCGTGGCTCTTTCTCCTCTAGATCGTCCTTCCCTTGTTGACTTCCTTCTTGCACTCCTGTGACCGCAACAGGTGCAGAAGTTGCTGCTCCTTTTTATTAGACCCTCAAAAGCCGTTACAGGTCTGAGTGGCTCTTTTTCCTCCAGATCGTCCTTCCCTTGTTGATTTCCTTTTTGCACTCCTGCGATCGCAACAGGTGCAGAAATTGCTGCATCTGCTGCTGCTGAACGCCTTCCACCAACCCCTCAGCCCCAGCAGCAGCAGCAGCAGCAGGGGTAGCCCCAGCAGCAGCAGCAGCAGCAGCAGCAACAGCAGCAACAGCAGCAGCAGCAGCAACAGCAGCAGCAACAGCAGCAACAGCAGCGACACTCCCATTTCCTTTTTCCATTTCCAGCACAGCAGTCCCATTCACACTCCCACCACTGCTACCAGCAACAGAAGCAGCTGCAGCAGTAGCACCAGCACAGGACACCACCTTCTCAGCTGCACCCTCCCCAGGTGAAACTTCAGGTGAAATATCAGGCGAAACGATATCCTTGGCAAGTGTCTCAACCACGTCGTCCTGCCCGCACTCCCGACGATAATCAATGGTGATTTCAGCCAGCTCATATGATCCCAAGAGGGACTGCGGCAGGCTCTGGTTGGGAAGGGAAGCAAGAGAGTGTAAGCAGAGGGAAGTGAGGTGAAGGGAAAGGAAACTATGAATGAGAATGGGCCCGCGTACTGGGATCAACCCATCGATGGTGATTTCAGCGAGCTCGTATGATCCCACAAAGGACTGCGGCAGGCTCTGGTGGGTAAGAGGAGGGGGGGTGATACAAGAAGACAGAGTTGTTATACCGCATGGGTCTATGATGGTCTGATTGCCGCATTGCCCTGCCCACATTCCCGGCAATAATCAATGGTGATTTCAGCCAGCTCGTATGATCCCAAGAGGGACTGCGGCAGGCTCTGGTGGGGAAGGGAAGCAAGAGAGTGTAAGCAGAGGGAAGAGAGAGAGGTGAAGGGAAAGGAAACTATGAATGAGAATGGGCCCGCGTACTGGGATCAACCCATCGATGGTGATTTCAGCCAGCTCGTATGATCCCAAGAGGGACTGCGGCAGGCTCTGGTGGGTAAGAGGAGGGGGGGTGATACGAGAAGACAGAGTTGTTATACCGCATGGGTCTATGATGGTCTGATTGCCGCATTGCCCTGCCCACATTCCCGGCAATAATCAATGGTGATTTCAGCCAGCTCGTATGATCACAAAAGGGACTGCGGCAGGCTCTGGTGGGGAAGGGAAGAGTTGCAAAGGAAGCATGGGAGTATGTGGGGGACAAGTGGGGGACAAGTGGGAGTGAGGAGACGACAAGGAGCGAATCGTGACTATGGTGGTCTGATGGCCTCGCTGTCCTGCCCGCAATACTCGATGGTGATTTCAGCCAGCTCTGATGAACCCAGTAGGGACTGGGGCAGGCTCTGATGGGGAAGGAGGGTGATGGAAAGAGATTTTTTAACACCCTCCTTCCCCATCAGAGCTCTGGATTTTTAACATCGCATGGGTCTATGTTGGTCTGACTGCCCCCTCCTCCTGCCCACGCTCCCAGTGATATCCAATGGTGATTTTACGGTAACCAGATCTCAAGCAATAGCATGCAACCTCTCAACACACCTCGAGGATCCATGAGTGCGATGTAGGTCACGTTGTTGACATGGTGGTTCAAGTCCAAAACTCATTTGAATAACTCAAGAAACCCCAAGAAGCCCAGCTAGCTCAAGCACACAAGCAACGCACCTCAAGCATCCATGCAATGTAAGTGACGTTGTTGACGTGATGATTCATGTCCAAATCGCTGCGCCTAGGCTGGTGGGGAATGCAAGTCACGAGAGGGAGAGAAGAGAAGGGGAAGGAGAAACTCTTCCTGAACCACCATGAACCACCACCTGTTAAGGCACCTCGTTGTTGACGTGGTGGTTCATGACCAAATCGCTGCGCCTCGGCTGGTGGTGAATCAGAGTCACACGATGAGAACAAACACGGAATATGGGGGCATGGGGCATCGTTTGCCGGGTATGGGGAATCGGACCTTGACAGAAAATGGGCATGAGGGCGAGAAACACAAGGGGGTTACCTAGGAAATGGCCGTATGTGGTCTGCTGGCTCTTAGTGCATGGATGGGATCTGTGGCATGTGGCATGTGGCTTGTGGCATGTGGCTTGTGGCTTGTGGCATGTGGCTTGTGGCATGTGGCATGTGGCATGTGGCTTGTGGCATGTGGCATGTGGCATGTGGCTTGTGGCATGTGGCATGTGGCATGTGGCTTGTGGCATGTGGCATGTGGCATGTGGCTTGTGGCATGAGGCATGTGGCATGTGGCTTGTGGCATGTGGCATGTGGCATGTGGCATGTGGCATGTGGCTTGTGGTATGTAATGTGTGCCACGTGGCATGTGGCATGTGGCATGCGGCATGTGGCATGTGGCTTGTGGTATGTAATGTGTGCCACGTGGCATGGGTTATGTGGCATGTGGCATGTGGGGTATGTGGCATGTGGCATGTAGTGTGTCCTACAGGGGGTAAAGGCCTTACCCGGAGGTATGGCCGCACGTGGTCTGCTGGCTCTTCCAGTTTGTTGATTTTTGCAACGCTGCTCTTCG